TGCCATTTTCACGGATCTCAGAGGTCATCCTTTTCCATAAACAATTCAAAATATTCCACAGAACCCAGAAATATACCTTCATGATTACAAAGAAGAACGTGCATTACAAGTTCTGAAACCCCAAATGTGCATGCCATGTGCCTCTGGGGACTGGGGGGCCTCAAATAATTAGGTATTTTCACAGAGTTCACACCATAATCTCGATTGCCTCATTTCCTGCATACAAACCCAAACCCAGAAGATCAAATCACAAGTTGTTTCACACTGGCACGCGTAGCATCTCTCATCTAACATGATTCTTGGAATTTTTTTAAAAGATCTTAATGGGGAGTGATGAAGATTGGAGAACAAACAATACATTTCTATACGCACATGTACTGTCACAAAATTCCCATTCTAGCTAATCATGAACTCCACGTCGAAACCTATGTTTTTTATTTTATTTATAATAAGCTTATGTAGCTGGCAACACTAGTCAAGTACGTACTTGAATAGGCTGGCATAAATGGGTTGTGTCTTATAATAATAAGCTGTAAAGCCCTCTCCACCACCTCCTCGGCTCCAGCTTTTTATTATTCCCTTTGTAAAATGTCTGGTAGCCTGGTACGGTTTTGTTCCTATTCGTTTTGGATTACCTTACAATAAGCCTTAATGAGCGGCAGGCAGCAACCCTAACAACTTTCTAAACCAACATTAGCCAAAGGTGATGTTATATAATGCAGTCGTGTACTTATGATACGCTCGCGCCAAATTCATTGATCACCGAATACTGATATCGGTGTACATGTCAGTATCTTATTTGTTATATATTTGAGATAAATGATAATCTCTTGCTAAACTTATACTATACCGGATTAGTGTATATGTCTGGCCTTCTTTGTATATACAAACGCAGTAAGCATGCAAGAACTATTTTCCCTATTGGGTTTGATTAATCAAGTAAGGGGAGATCAAATTAGCATAACCCTAGTTGGTAAAAAGCATTTTCTCTGTTTCCAATGAAATCCGCATAACAATAACGTGCGGACGTCTTGATGAGAGAACTATATATACATTAGTTAATCAAAATGAAAGTATATAAATATACTAAGCTTATTCTCTAATATTCTACTTGAGTATAACAATCTGGGATTCGAAAAAGATAAGGATTTGCAGAGGAGAGATGAGCAACAATCCTAAATGATATTATTCTCTTTTTCACTTTTATATACCCTTTACTTGTTTGGTTTCACACTTGAAATTTCTCCAAGTGTTACGTGTAAAGACGGCAGCTCGTGACATATAGAACATCAGTCACTCTAAGGATATATGTATATGAGCTGTCGTTAGTGATTGAGCTTAATTATGGATAAACTTAAACTAATTCATATAATTAAGAAGGATAATCACAAAACAAATCCAATCAGTGGTGTCAAAACTACGTCCTTGTGACGCCTCCAAAGTATTGCTTACTTAAGGCCAGCATGCAGGCCCCGTCCTTCACTTCACATGATGATCAGTTTTGCAATTGCCACCATATATATTTGGTACCTTATCTTTTTGCAATTACTTGTCCATTTCTGCTTGTTTCCTTTTCAAGCCGGATCGAATTTTGGGTCCACAATTAATCCAATTTCATTTGATTTACTCCTTAATCAATCAAAATTTGCTTAATTATTATTCTTCTTCACAGTCCACACATAAATATTATACGCATTAGTTAAGTTTTTATATATATTAATGTTCAGAATTGAAATAATTTTCTTGTGGGGTCTTAAACCAAAATATTCTCCCACCACTCATTTTCCATGATTTCTTGTTTGAGACCACCTTAGCCTACTCATATGTCATTACATATATTTTACACTCATCAGAATCTGATTTCTGGTTTTTATTTTTATGTTTTTTATACAATTGATACTCTATTTTAAATTAATCAAAACTACATGGAGAGGGATTCGAACTCGGATATAGAGTGGGGAGCACATCCTCTCCGAAAAAAAATAGTCTCATGCACCATTCAAAGCAAGGGAGCATTTTTGCTCACCACTTTACCCCAAGGTCACCACCCTTCTCAACATTTGACACGTGTCTATTGACATAACCATGATTGCATAAATACAAAGTAAAAAGTAAACTATGGTCATGTCATGACCATGTTTGGCAATGGCCCCAAAAATGATTTCATGTACATTTTTAATGCAGGCAGATTTAATCAACCAGTCCCTAATTGTATGTATTAATTAGGAATTAATGCCAAACACATCCATATAGCAAGTGCTCAAGTCCTGAGCTTTCGACACGTGTTAATTAGAGACAGCAAAGTAGATACACAAACAGAGAAAACGAAATGGTACGTAGAAGTGGAATCATGTGGACCAAGTTAACGGTTGTTCATGTTTAATTTTTGGCCCGGCACAATTCAATTGCTTTGGAGCTTCACGACATAAACTGCCTCCTTTGAGTAACGGCCCTTGCATTGTGTGTACTTCTTGTCCATTGGAACTAATTTTTCTATTAATGAGCTACTTAGCTATAATTAGTGCTTTATGTATAATCACTAGGGTTAAAAGTTTCTCGTCTATGCCTAATGCAATGTATGAATCCGAGGCTTGACCGAATCGTACATGCATTTTTCTTTAATCAATAGAAAAATGAAATTTGAACTTGAGATATCTGTCAAATTTGAGAAGAGATGTACTAATAAATTCAAAGCTCGATAGTAACACACACAAAATTAATCCCTCAAACACTCATTTTTATCCTTATTTTAGGGGTGAAGATGTTACTAGATGAAAGAAAGACCATGCATGGAATTAGTAATTCGTAATCACCAAGCTTTGTAGCATAGTAATAATGTCCTTTACTCTAATTAAAGAAAGGTAGGTAGCCTTTGTATTTTCCGTTCTTGTTTGTACTCAAATTAAGATTTTGTTTTTCCGTGGCAAAACAAATACATACTTACAAAGTCTAATTAAGGGCATTAACATATAACATAGACAACTTTATTTGGTTTGGGGTGCCCCTAATCTTATTTAGGACGTTCTATTATGTGATTCTTTGAGTCGGGGTTAGGCATTTTGTCCTCCCGTTGTAATTCTTCGTTTTATCAATAAAGTTTCCCTCGTTCCGTCGAGATTCTCTCAAAAAATAAAAACACACTTGATTTTTATCTAAAGTTAATCCAAAATAATCAATCCCATGATAAAACTTAGGTATAAACTTGACTGATGACATATATGCATCACCTACTCAAGATAAAATTTGAAGTAATATTGGTACATTTGTTTGAAAAGACTAATAAAAAAACTCACCTACCCAGAAATCTTTGACAAGTTTTAGAGACAAAACCGAAGCATCTTTGACAAGTTTCAGTAATGTATTCTTGCATGGTAAGCTTTGCTCGAAGTTTCCTCTCCAAAATCAATCTACATTTCAACTAATCCGAGAGACCAAGCCTCTAGCTATGTAATAAAATGTTACTAATTAAGCTTAACACACAAAAAATGTTACTAATTAAGTGTCCATACAGATTTAGCAATTTCATTAGTGAACTACAATTGGAATATTGTAGCCCCAAAAACAAGAGCAAGAGCAATATACTAGTGTGCAGGCCTACCGGATGAGGATTTACCTAATCATATTAGGTGGCAAATGTGTTAAGCCATTAATCATGGTGTCTATGCTTTAGGTGGACAATGCATGCCTTGATTTGTGTATATAGACTTATCTAATTTGGACTCTCTAAATCGTTGGTGGGTTGAATGAGATTGTTTTGACAGTTTCTTATAATCATTTGTGTTAGGTGAGATTAACTGCCGGATTATGTGCATGTTCATGAACATGTTTGGCCATATAGTTGGTAAATGTACTCTTTCTTCTTTTCCTCTCACACATTCTTGCACCGGAGAAACTCGAGGCACACACTCTTGCATCGGAGAAAAACTTAATTGCCTCGAGTGATCAAATAACTGTGTTTACATACAACTCTGTTATAGATAAGTTTTTCTCCTGATACGATGCGGTATCATAGGACACAACTTTGCTTGACACCTAATTTATATTTCACCCTAAAACAAAAATATAAATCAGTGAAGCCAAAAATATATTAATGTACACATTTTCTTTTAATTTTTGTGCAAACCAGAAGGTGCTTTGTGCTTCTACAGCCAGCCAGGCTTGAGCTACCACCGTCAAAACTCAAAAACGGCATATCACCATGATCTCAGAAGCCACCGAAACCATCATCCCAGCGAAATTGACCAAAACACCCTCACCAGAAATCTAGACAGACAAAGTTATCGCCCTAACCAAAGAGCCACCAAAGATCGCGTAAATTACAGTACAGAGACAAATCCAACCCGGTCATATCGTGTCAGAGATTTTTCCAGATCCGTTGCGGATGTTACAACCCCCAAAAATCAATACAGTCCCAGTTCTGTAATTTAGTACCAACTTCATGTCTGGCTTCCACTGCCGCCCTGGAAATTACACCAAAACTCACTGCCGTGCCGGCTTCCCGGAAAATGCAAAATGTATCAAACGGAAAACAAACCAATCAAAACCCCCCAAAAACCCTTGAATCTCAAAAATCATCTTCCATTTCCATAAATTAAACAGAGACAATCATCTTGAAAATTGGCACTCACGGAATCCCAATTTTAGTGTTACATGATTTTCTTCACCGTTTCTCCCCAGGTTTCCCGGGAAACAAACAGGAAGAAGAAAGAAAGTAAGTCGAGAAAGAAGCAACACAAAAATTAGGACAAAAAAGTACAAGTATTTTCCGTTTTTGCCATGACTGTAATTCAATTATACAGAGACCAGCACTAGCATTTCTAGGAACACTCTAAAGCCTGAGTAGTATTCTTTCCCTTTACAACACCGAAAAAAAAACTAAAAATACTTTTTTTTAAGGACCTTGCAAGTTTGCAACTGCTCTTTACTCTTTTGCTTCGCTTCGATCGAAAAAGCCACCGTATTTACAAAAAAGGCCAAAACATTTCCCTAAATTACCGAATCTACCAAGATCTCAGGTCGTCGGAGATCGAGCTCAGGAGGTCATGCAGGTCACGTGACGGGGGCTGCCCGAGGCGGAGAGCCTCCAGCACGCGCTCGAAGACGATCACGTGACAAGGGATCCGGAGCACGCCCTTCTGCTCGTAGCCGTACTCCTGAGCCGACTTGTTCAAGAGCTCGACGAAGACCGGGTGGTTCAGCAGCTCGGCGTGAACCACGAACCGCTCCATCTCGTCGCCAACGTAGACCGGCACGTGTCCCTCCGGAACCACCGGTTCGCCGGCGGAGGACCTGCGGCGGCGGAGCTTCACCCGAAACGACTCGCTTCGGCGCGGGCGGGACGAGGCCGTGTCGGCGGAGCGCAGGAGGCAGTACTGCGACGAGTCGGCGACCCGGGAGAGCCTTCTGATCAACTGCTTCATGATGATGATGATGTGTACGGACTGTGCGAGGAGCCGAAAAGAGAGAAGTTTTGTTTTAGAGAGAGAAGAAGAGATGATGGAGTGGTGGTGGGTGTGAGAGGTGTGAGGGGAGAAGTGGAATATATAAAGGGCAGGAGAGGGAATAAAGTAAGGAGAGGAGAGGGGGAGAGAGAGAGAGAGAGAAGTTAATGTGAGACATGGAAAGGTGATGATGAGAGAAGGTTGGGAGGTACAATTAGGCGTACTTGGCAGGTACAATAAGTGAGACAGACTTTTCTTTTTTCACTTTATTTTATTTTCCTTCTTAGTCTTAATTAAACTTCAATTAAAATATCATGCCTCTTTCTTTATTTCTTGATTAGAGAACTGTAGATTAATGTAATTTTCTTTTGTGGTTTTAATTGCGTATTAATAGGGCACCATCATTAGCAGGTAAGACTTGATGTTTGGCATTCATATTTGATCTGATTTTTTTCAAAACTTGAGTACGAAAAGAATGCTTATATTCTACTATGATATCATACTCTTAATCCACCCATATCTTTGTCTATGCATACTAAAAAACTGTTCTGAATTTTCTCATAAGTTACATTATAGTGTAATAATTCTCGGTATGTTAGAATGTTGCCTATACGCAACACAAAGTTTTTTAAATTGCGGATACTAAATGGTATGACGTGAAAGTATTCATTTAATCGATAAAAATTTCGTGTGACGCCACTGAAATGTGCCATCGTCTAATAATAACAATGTGGGACCTGCTACTTGTTTCTAGATATTGAATTGTTTCTGTGAGAATTCAACACGAGAAGCAAAGTCATTCATGCGAGAAATCGGCATGGAAAGACAAAATACTCTTTTTTGAGCAATCGGTGTGGAAAGTCTGTGCATTGTGTCCTTGATTTCACAAAATTTTCTCAGTATTTCTTACAAATAAATCCATTTAAAAGATAAATCCATCGTGAACAACTATACATTAATTGGCACATATGAATAAATTTTTTTCAACGAATGTATATTTTCCCTTTAAATTTTGGGTGTTATTTAAGCAATGTTTGGTAGTAAAAACATTCCCCTTATCCTTTTTTGTTTTGTTTTACTTCTTGGTTGTTTACTATTTATCTTTCTCAATGGGGGTTAGAACCGTAATTAAACAATGGATTAAGGCAAATCTAGGGCGCAGATCGATGCCTTGATTGATGCACAAACAAGTTGCTATTGAGACTTTTGCATGCTCCAATCATTTGGTGCCACAAAAAGACACCTAGATAAATAAATAAAAACATTCCAAAACATTTCACAAGAAATCAAACTCTCACGGGATGATTTTATGGCATGTTTGCCATTTGCTCAAACAGATGAGAACCAAACAAAAGTCGAAGACTGCCTCAAAGTTGACACGATAAAAGTATCGCACTGCCTTTTTTTCCCAATTTTAAGGTCAGATTTTTTCTTTAATTGTTTTTGGAAACCGATCTTAGATTTTGGTAGAAACTTCTTGTATTTACTTATGTCATAATTCCTTTCTTTTTCTTTTAGAACAAATAAAAAGGTGTGATTTTGTCAGAAACTTCTTGCATTTTAGTAAGATATGATATACTCTCTTATTTGCACTCGAGTTCGATTCCCCTCCCCGCTTCGTATAGAGTAGTCAAAATATCGCTTCGTTTATATAATAATAAAAAGAATTCATTACACCTTATCATGTAACTCCAATATGGCAACTCTCACATAGAGATGAGAGAAGTAGGTCTACTTATGCTGCATTATTCAACTATTGCTTCCTCTACTTTTCTGGGATGCCTTAATATAAAATGGAAAACGCGAACAAGTGGAAATTACATTTTATAATTTCTGAGTTTAAGTTAAGATAATACTTAGCGAGTCCATGTCATGATGCAACATCTCTATAGTCTATAGTGACTACTTCGCAATTGCATGTGTGAACTTTGCAATAGATAATATAACTATATTTGAAATGTACGGCAAACCGTCCTAAAATTTTAATTGGGTCAAATAAACTTTGCTATAAAATTATTAATCCATTCAAATGAAATAAAATTGTATAATTCAGTTGATTTCTCAATGGAAGTTTCTATAAAGGACACTTTGAGAAAGAGGCATATTTGCTTATTTGCCTAAAAAATCGTCCCCTCTTAAAAACACCTATACAATTAAACCAAGAGGTGTTACTTTACTAACCCAACAAGTTACTTTATCTAATCAAAAACAATTTTGGCGTTTTCGTGAAAAAAATCAAGTTACTGTAACGTACGGGAATAGAAATCAAACTCAAATGCAAGACGACGGACTCTCTGTTTAAGTCAACCGGCTTAACCCGTATCTACCATTTTGATTTTGAATAATATTTCATATTTATAGATTCAGAATTTTATGTATAAAGCCAGTAAAACAGTAAAGATAACGGGCCAAAAAAGGGGGACAAAGTGAGAATCAAAACCGCTGGTAAAGGATTTGGGCAAAACAGCAAAGCGAAAAAGAAGGGAGCGCAATTAGCGGTTTCCGGATGGGTCGTCTTTCCGTAGTCCGTTGCGGGTACAGTTCCGTGACTCTGATTCACGCTTTCAAGCATTTTTGTCCTCTGCTTCTTTTTCTTACGTGTCACTTTTCCACTCCCTCCACCCGGCCTCCGCTCCCGTTGTATCAACGCGCCAATAGAAAATCGCCGCTGGTTCGATGTGCTCGCTGCGGTGGTGCGTTGCGTGTGGCCCTGTGGTCCGCTTTATAAAGCCCGGATAAAAAGTGGCGATTTATGTGTTCGTCTTTTTCGGGATAAAGTATTGTATTGTGTTTTTAAAGGTTTAAAAGGTGCATTATATAAAATATTTTTTTGGATTGATTTTTGTTTTGTGGGGGAATCAGAGCAACTTGGCACCAGAAAAATTGTAAAAGAATCCCCACAAAGATAGTCCTATGTATGTCACATTTCGATTGCCAGTCTTGTCACGTCAGTGGGGTAAAGGCTGGTTTACCAGAAGATTGTTGGTGTAATATCTAAGCAAAGATTTGGATAATATGTGAATTTTCCTCCCGCGCCATATTTATTGCCCGTCACAAATTATTCATTTGTGTGTGTCACAAATTAAAGAACGGATTGTCGATATTGTATTGATAACATGTCAACAATAAAACGTATCGACATGTTATTGATACATTATAGCAATATCGATACAATTACGTCCTTTATTAACACATAATGTTGATGTTCAAGATTGGATTCAAATTAAAAGGGGTGAAGTGTGGTTTCTTCAGCAAGTGATGGGAAAGTGTGGACCTTAGGTAGTAACGCTTTCAACAAGTAAGCGAATATGCAAAAGGTGAGCAGAAGAAACAATCATCCATATCTTGGCACTGGTGTGGTATCGGCTGAAGGCTCTCTGATACTTAAGTCAGCAGAGTATAAGTTAAATGTGATTTTAGCATAGTAAGAATGTGGTAAAGATTAATTACCTTTTTACCTTGGCACCTTTCCCCTTTCACGGGCAAAAATGAAGTGGATGTTTGCCCAACTTTTGATGTGGGACTTTGGCCAAATCCTTGTGGTGATGACACATGTCTCGAGATTTAGGTTATGCGAGCTTGGTCTTTGGTAAGTGCCTTCAGCATGTTGTCGTTTAATTGAAGTAGGATGTCCTTTCGGTACCTTTGGTCAAGGGCGGAAGTAGAAATTTATCTGGAAGTAGCCTGAATATTTTAATTCGAAAGTATTTCTCCATCCTCATATTTAGGTTAAACGTAAAAGATACTTTAAGTAGCTTTATGGTGAAAAAGGGTAAAAACCACATGTTGTAGTGGTGTGTAGCTAGTGGATATAATCCAATTTATTCGGATATGGATATAGTACCTCCCTTAATCGAAAATCAGAATTTGTGAGATTCACTAAAGTCGAGATTCATTTGTAAAGTTATTCCCCTTGTGTTAGTCTAAATGAATTTGCAGTAATCCAAAACGTTTAAAATGTTAAGAACCACACAAAAGTAATATTACTATATAATCTTTATACACATAAAGATGTGCATGCGCGAAGTTGCACAAGAATTAAAGTTTGCTTTGTTTATCTGATTGAATGACTCATCCTCCCTAATATTCATGTCATACATGACACGAAAGAACCTTTGCTAGGTTGGATGTGGTACAAATGGACAAGAAAAACCAGGGAAAATATGTTTCATTCAAAGTTTGTGGACGGAACTAGCTAGGCAAGTGTTTTTCTTCTTCTAAAGTTCACTTCAATTTGTAAGTATTTGATCAACCCTACTAGCTCTCATTGACACGTATTTTGCTTTCGTGATCACATGTATGAACAAAATTGTGGAAAAAAGCAAGATTAAAGCTAATGAGAAATAGACTTATAGCTCAAGTAATTTAGAGTATTTATTCATGCAATCGAGGTTTTAGGTTTGATTTCAGTATCGCCTGTATCAAAAAGATTAAAGCTCATGACGTGACTAGATCGAAATTGCCTCACTTTTGTTGTGGCATTAAGTTCCTAGTAACTTCTTGTTGTCCTAGCTAGGTCCTACTTATTCGTACCAATAAACACATGGTGAACAAGTGCGACTAGGTATATGTGGTCCACAAATTCAAAATTAGGGGCTACAACTTTACCCTAGTATAAAGTTATTTCTACTAGCTAGCTAGGGCGGCTATGGAAGATATACAATCTAGTTGGAAAATCCCTGCTTTAATATGTGGAAATCAGTACCCCTGCATGTACTTTACAAAGGAGCATCTATAGGGACGCATATGCCTAAGCTCCTCTCTTTACCAAATATTTTTCCAAATATATTGGCATAATTCTATTAGAATTATTAGAATATGTTGGACACATACAAGGCCAAAAATGAGATAATAATATTCAATATAATATATATATTCGTAAACAAATATATATTGAAAAATCAATGCCGTGTACATATGTACATGCTAAATAGATTAAATAGAATTTTCTGAGATAGAGATATTTTAAAACAAAGTTG